ATATATTCAATGTCTTAAGAAAATATTGAATATGCAGTACATATTCTTTACTTTAATTTTTAGTCATAAATGAAAAAGTTATATAAGTTAAAAATTTTTATTTAACAAAAGCTATTTAATTATTTTTGTAAATCTAGCACTTGAAACTTAAGTGGCTTTTCTTTCCTGTTTTTCCTTCGTATGAGTGAAAAGCATTAGAAAACGCTTACAATAAAGAAACTTATTTTCGAAAATTGCACCAAAAATCTTTAAAATATTCTTTTTACCTGAAATTTTGAACAAAAATACCAGGAAGATCAGAGAATTTTCAAGGAATTTTTTACAAGATTTAAATAGACACTGTATACATGATTTTTGACTTTGATTTTCTACTAGCATTTTAACTTACCTCAATGCCTCGACGTCGACGGAGAAACGGTGGAGCGGACCGTGTCTTGAAAACAGAGCAAGGACGTTGTTTACCTGAATGTTTATTGTTGCGGCTATCGTAACAACAAACGTCGTAGATAATATACGGAACGATGAGCAAAAAAAAATTGAAGAAACGTCGGAGATATGTATCATAAAACAGGTGAGTTTTCCTGGAGCAAGTTGGAAAGAACGAAGATGGTTCCTCCCGCGCTAGTCATTCTGCCGAAATCGATTTCATATAGGACGCCGTCCGACGTAATAATGCTGTGTGTGCGTTATATACGAGCCCTCAGTCAAGACATTTTCCAATGGAGCCTGCAATAAATACGTCTCCGTATTGCCGTTGGCATTGTACGGAGATATGGGTACGTGAGATTCGATGTATGTATTATGCATCCGCGCTCATTGAAACGCCCGCATCTTCGACGCGCGAACAGAGCACCGTAATCTTCTTCGTCTTGTATTTACACGTGTCTCTCAAGGATTTACAGAATTTCACAGACGCGGCGTTTCGCGGTGCGTCGAGAGGTGAAGATTGCGGAAGATACGCGCGGCCTTTTTCCGCGATCGAATGACGGCAGCGTCGTAAATCAGCGATAAGTGGCTTTCGACGCCTACTTTGCGAAATTCTCGCGCGTGTTACGCACTTACGTAAACGTATGTTTATCATATTACCTCCTTTACACTTTATGTGTATGCATATCTTTGCATAATTTTCATAAATATCTCTCAAGAGTCATAATAATGTTGATTAAAGTTATCAATGTTAAGACGTAAGATCTTTTTCCTTGCTGTGATTAGATATTATTAGAGTCACTATGTCTTTAAAAAAATATTCGTCAATATAATTCGTTTTTATATAATCATTATCGAAAGAAAAACTCCAATCTCTGACATGAATCAATAATTCAAATCTGTCATCTCGCCGCGCTGAAATTATTGCTTATCTCCGATCACTAAAATGCTAATCTGTAAAATACCAGTGGTGGTTTCGTCAGAATGTTTGCGCGACAATCTCGAACTAATATTTCTCGCCGCAAGACGCGCCTTGAGGGTCTACGCAAAGTCTAGGTGTAATGTAGTATTACACGATCCTTGCGAAAGTGACGAATGCGAGCGAAAATTCCTATGAAAGCAACGTGTCGTTACGTATCGAGCGGGTATACTAAACCATCGATAGAAAATACAGCATAAGCGGTATAAAACTTCTCCGCTTCAACAATCATAAAAAATTAGCTCTCGCGCATGACAGATGAGAATCGTTGAAAATTATCGCGCGCGATAAGCATGTTTCGTGTTCGCGTCGCCTTTGGTATAAATTTAAATTCTTGCAACACGATATCCTTCGAAACGGGTACCCTCGATCGGGTATATACACGCGCGGCAAGTGCGGCGATTCTGTCTAACGTGTCATTTGCACGTCGATACCGAACCTTTCGCGCATGCCGTGACCGGAACACGCGTGTCGCACACGCGCGCGATCAAACGGTAGAAAATAATGACGAAGCTTGCTGCAACGCGTGTTATTACTTGCACTTTCTGTCACGAAAGGACGAGCATCCGCGCACGCGAAGCTGGCGTGTTCTGTAGACGAAGGAAAAAGGAAAAAAAAACAAAAAAAACGAAAACGGAACCCGTTGAAGTCTATGTCGAAAGAAAAGAATCGGAACGCGCGCGTTCGAGCACTCTTAATGATAATTCAACATGCCAATAAGTCATTAATGTCGATGTAACATCGGCGTGCCTCGAGTCGAATCGACTCGAGAAGAGATGGTCGAGAGAACCGTGAGATCTGCGTGCGTGGCTTTATTATAATTTACGCCCTATCTGCCTCCACGCTCTAACGCCGGCCGTTCTAAACCTGCTCGTGTATACCCACGCGAACATCAGACGAAGCGAAAAAAGACGAGAGACTCTGTCCGCCCAGCGCCTCACCACGACAGGAACGAATCGGAGCGCTTATTTTCACGTATGCATTCTCAATGAGGATTCGACATGCCGATGCGTCATTGACTGTCTTTCAAATGGCGAGCGATACTCGGTTCGATATATCATACCATGATGGTATTACCATCCCGTAATAGGCGCGAGATCTACACGATACTTTTGAGTCAATATGTGTTAAATCTCATGAAGTAAGAAAATTGTTTAAAGTCCCATTACTGATAATTCATTGTATATCTAAACGAAATATGATAAATAAAACCATCTTAACAAAGATAGTTAAAAACTTAAAAAAAATTTATCACGTTTGATTAAAACGTATGATTGCAAGGAATGCAAACATAGGATTGTTCATTGAGTAACGATGATACACATAGATAGATCGATAGATCATCGATTATCACACGGGTAACAAAATCTGGCCAAGAAATTCATTCATGTTATCGTGAGAGGAAGTAACTGCTCTCTAGAGCTATTTTTATAACGCTTAGTCTGTCTGACCGACAACATGCTGGAGCACTTGAAAAACACTTGTGCGCATTCCGTTACGTTTACGCAACGATCGCGCGGAGAACGTTTGAAAGAAAGGGGAAAAAAGAGAAACGGAATTGCGCACCGCTCCTCTTTAGTGCCGAGCATTTTTAATTTTTGGATAGGTATGCGCTGGAGTCATCTATCATTTTTTTTTAAGTTTGAATATGCCCTCCATATTTCGTGAAAAGTCCAATGAGTTCTGTTAAAGTTGCATCTCTGGAGTTGCCCTAATCGATACCTGGGAAATCCAAGAGAGAGAGAGAATTTATTTACTTTTATCATTTATAAGTAATAAATTATCGCTTGTAAAACGATGTAAAACAGCAGTGAAAAATATTATTTGAAGTTGAAAAGAAAAAACAAATGATAAAAACGATTAACTTGTTTACAAAAAGTGTGTATTTATCGAGTGAAAAGTCAGTTTTATATGTTAAAAAATAATCTGGGTTGACGTTACGCTGCAACACACATGTATATATTTCCGTTACATTAAAAAATATATCGCGATAAAGAAATTTTATCAGACAAGTTAAATATGGTTTATACAATTTATGTGAAATGCAGTTGACAATTTCGTAAAACCGTGCTTTAAACTAACAAGTTAATTCCGATGTTTATAATTTTTTCTGCGATTAAAAACAACTTTAAATACTTTCTTTTTGCTCATCTACATTTCCATTCCATATCGCCGAGAGTGCCGCCTTACCCATTTAATTTCCGGCATGCCACGTCGCCAGTGCAGCGACGAAAGTTTCCCATAATACAGCAGAGATAAAGCATTTATTGAATCAGATAAAGTTTAATTTACCGCACTAACACATACAAATACGATGGAAACGTCACTCGTTTCGATAATCGATAAGCGATTCCGTTCGATCGTTGAATTTATTGTAACGTTTTTGTTTTAATCTATTTAAATTTTACATGCTCTCACAGAACAATTGAAATAGATATCTATACATATGCCAGCAAGATTAACTTTTATTTAACCAAAGAAATATCTCTTTTTGGACGTTGATTTTATACGCTATCGGTGATTTTACATGAACAGTGTTTGCTTTCCGTTAATTGAAAGAAGTCAATCGTTTTCAAAATCTCTGATAGACAGGATTGTCCTAGAAATTTAAAAGTTGTATTGCCACGTCGAAATGCGGCATGTGGTTAGCGAATTATATCGACATTGTACAGATATCGCAAAAAGTTGTTCAGTTCGGGAAAACTCGGAAAGAATTCGTAAAGGAAACGCGGACCGAGAGAGCGAGGAAGAAAGGAAGAGGGAGAGAGCACGCGTGACTGGTATCGACATTTCAAAATTGCAACGCTCGCGACGTCCATTGTCACCTATATTTCCGCCTTCATCAACTTCTAGAAAAAGTACGTACCTATTTTTGACGAGAGAAAATCGACGAAGACCGCCGGAGCCGGGATCGAGGAGGTGAAAGATAGAATATCTTGTCCCTGTCGAACGTCCGGAGACAAGCTGAAATTGAAGTAATATACAGCCCTTGCTCTCGTGCGCGAAAGTGCGCCTTTAATACCAACCCCGAGAGAAGGATGTTTCTTCGCTGGCAAAAAATTATTGACAGTATGCCGATAAAGTACGTTTGCAGAGTTATTACGGTACAACGTTTTCTTTATGAGATTTCACGTCAGAAAGTGCCGTATGGATTTTATGGATTATATCGCAATCTCACATTTATTTTTTTATTTTTTCATTATTGAAGCAAATTTGATATGAATATAAAGTGGATATAACTGTGCTTAAATTTGTCAAGAAATATGAAACTCGTTCCGAGACATTTTGAGGATATAATATATGTATATGGCTGTAAGAACGAGAAACAAAATTGTGCAAATTAATAATCTTGATTGGTAGAATATTTTACTCGACGGGAAGAATATGTATGTACAGGAAGAGCGGATGCAAATATTAATGAAAACAAATTGGTTTGACTCTGAGGTATACAAGAATATTTTATTCGTCGAAAGTAACAAATATACAATCTCTCAAATAAATCGTCGATTTAAATCATGTCTGTTATAATTAGCTCGTTTTATGCGATCGCGCGTTGCTCGGACTCCGTGCGCAACGCGCACCACGTCCTCCTGTACTCTCGTATACCGCGATCTCTGTATTGTCGACACGCATAAAAGGGATAATACGGCGTTCACGAAAAAATCTAATGTAACAATAAACGGAAGTGTACGCTTACGAAACCGAAGTAATTTTGGCACGATTTTCAGAAAAAATAATAATCACTCGCTCGTGCTCGCGTGCGTTCGTGTTAACAAATCGATAATAATTGCGTCATCGCGTCGAGGTGTTGCGGATATTGCCGATCCGCTCGAACTTTACTTGGTGTCCTGTATATATATATCTATATATAACATATATTTATATAGAAACATCCATCTAAAATGGATATATTCATCTGCGCGCGTATTTTTAGTGTATGTATGTACATGTATGTCCGTCTAAATGCACAGTCCCTAATTACTTCGTCACAATTATATACGGTTTTCTTTTACGCGGATTATACCGCTCTTGAATTCACGGATAAGCATTTCTCGGTCCTTAACTCGATGTCCGTAGGATCTTCCCTCAAAAGGGAATTCTCAGACTTGCCACTAACTCACGTTTATATACAAAGTACTGACGCGTTTGTCGCGCACAATTAAGGCAGTGTTTCGTTGAGTCCGTTCGGAGAACCCTAGTTCTCCTGCCTCCTTCTTCTCACTCCTCCCGCTCGCGCGTACTCCGACGATCCGGCTCACTGTATTCACTGATCGATTTCGAGTTCATCGGTCGCCGTTTGATCACCCACCGATCGCGGTACCATACACTGATCGTCCGTCCCGGGTGGGCATACAACGGTCTCGACTTTCACTCACCGCTGGGGAAACGCTTCTCGAGATCCGGTTTTCTGTTTATTCAGAGCCACGGGCCGAGTTGCGCCTCCAGAATCGTGGCGGCGTCGGTTCTGCCCATTATTCTAAGATGGTTCAGCA